CTGATTTTTGCAGAAGAATTTAATAAACATTTCATCAAGTTCCAAAATTAGGCATTGTCTCCCAAGAAGATGATGGTAAAAATTATTATACACATTCAAATGGGATCTTAGTAATAAAAAAGGGAGGGGCCCTGGCCGGTGTGGTTTAGTGATTGGTGTGGCAGCCCGAGCTCGGAGGGGTCTCAGGTTCAATTCCCAGTCAAGGGCACATACCTGGTTGCAGGTTTGATCCCTGGCTCCAGTCAGGGTACGTGTGGGAGACCAATCCATGTGCCTCTGTCACATCAAGGTTTCTCTCTCTCACTCCCACTTTCCTTCCCTCCCTCCCTAAAAAAATCAATGGAAAAAATATCCATGGGTGAGGATTAACAAACAAACAAAAAGGGTGGTGGTGGGGAGGGACAGCACTGTGGCACTATTAACGAATTGCCCGCAAATAAAATACCATAGCACTCACTCATCGTGGGCCAGGTACCGTTCAGAGTGTCTTACATGTATTATTTGATTTAACCCTCAAAAAAGTCTATGATTCTCTCCACTTTAGAGATGTTTCATCGCTTGCGCCAGGGCATGCAGCTGGTACACCTTGGAGCCAGGGCCAGGGCCAGGGCCAAGGTCAAGAGTCAGTCGCTGCCAGAAACTGCTCTCAGCCACTGCACGACTGCTCTCAGGCTTGTCTGCCATGCAGAGTGCAGTAATTCATCCTGTATCAACATGTCTTCCATCTTTATTGTGCAAAGCACTTTTACATGCTTCTCTCACGTGTGTCCCCTTCTTGGTGCAGGACATATATAAATGCATAGGTGAACATATTGCCCTTATTAGAGCATTTTAGCCACGGTAGAGAAGCCTGGGTTTATACCTTCATGAAGCTTCCCTCTTCAAGATGGTTTCTTTAGCTTTATGGTTACCTTCATCAAACACATTGAAAATCATGGTCATACATCAAAAGATGGTTTGGTCCTGGCTGGGTGGCTCAGTTGATGGGAGCATTGTACCATACACCAAAAGTTTGCGGGTGTAATTCCCTTTCGGGCCACATGCCTAGGTTGCGGGTTCGATCCCCTGTTGGGGCACACGCAGGAGGCAACTATCAGTGTTTCTCTCTCACATCGATGTTTTTTTTTTTCTCCCTCTCCCTCTCCCTTCTTCTCTTTTTAAAATCAATAAACATTTCCTTGGGTGAGGATTAAAAAAAAATGGTTTGTAAGTTGATAAGCAGGTAATTAACATTTAACATTCAGCCATGCTCATTAATGAAATTATTTCCATTGTCTTCATTAATTATTAGAGAATTCCAGAAAAATTGTTGGGAGGAAAAAGGCAAGATTATCAGCCACAATATTAACCCTTTTAGATTTCACGGTATTTTTACCTGTGGGAGAAGGAAAAATATGTGAACAAGATTCATAACCACAGGGAGTATGTAAGCCAAGCATGTCAAACTCAAAGGCTAACACCAGCCAAATAAACAAGGCATGTGGCCCGTGGAACCCAAATTTGATGTGCTTGATGTAAGCGCTATTTGGAATTGCTTCCTTAATGGTAGCCAGGTTTTCCACTCTCTCCACCACGATGGCCCTCAGGGAAGGGGCAGGTTAAAGTCCCTGTTAGGAAGGTAGAGAATGTGGGGAAGTGGGAAGGGAAAGAAAAGGTAGGGTCAGGGGTCAGCTGCTACCCTTCCCCCTCTGCTTTGGGCTTTACCTTAGAGCCGTGGTCGGCAAACCGCGGCTCGCAAGCCACATGGGGTTCTTGGGCCCCTTCAGTGTGGCTCTTCCACAAAATACCACGTGCGGGCACACACTTACAGTGCGATTGAAACTTCCTGGCCCATGCGCAGAAGTCGGTATTTTGTGGGAGAGCCACATTCGAGGGGCCAAAGAGCCGCATGTGGCTCGCGAGCCGCGGTTTGCCGAGCCACAGTTTGCCGACCACTGCCTTAGAGGACGGGTTTGGTGAAATAGGAACGGACTGTTAGGTGTGGTGTGAGGGAGGCTGCAAAGAGAGTCCTGGTCTTGTCCAACATGGCCCTTCGCTCTTTTAAAGTGTACAATTCAGTGATTTTTACTGTTTTCACAAGGTTATGCAGCCACCTTCACTTTCTAAATCTGTGATACCTAATTCTACACCTGCAGCTTCTCTGAGCTTAGCACAGCTGTGGCAGAGTGGAGCAGATAATAAATGCAAAGGGCCAGACTGATGTTTCTGTGTATTTATTTATTTGTTTGTATATTTAATTTTTTGTTAATCCTCACCCAAAGATATTCTTTCCATTGATTTTTAGAGAGAGTGAAAGGGAGGGAGGAGGACAAAGAGGGAGAAACATCGATGTGAGAGAGACATTGATTGGTTGCCTCCTGCACATGCTCTGACCAGGGCCAGGGATGAAACCTGCAACTCAGGTAGGTGCCCTTGACTGGGAATCAAACCCACATCCCTTCAGTCCAAGGGCCAATGCTCTAACCACTGAGCAACCGGCCAGGGCTCTTTCTGTGTAACTAGCTGCTTCTATTGTTCAAAACACCCCACATTCTGCGTTTATCCCAAAAGCTGGCTCTTCAGATAAAGACCAGATGCAGGTAGCCTCAGTTATGTGTGATGTATGTCAGACCTAGGTTCCATACACACCAATCTCAGTGGAAGTAGCTGGCACACATGTTTGAAGACTATATGCAGGTGTCTTTAGCATATTCATATAAATTACACAGTAATGTGATCTGAGAACTTCTTTAGCTAAAGTTCCCTTGATTCGTAATCAGAAATCCTGATTCCAAAGCCCTCCTGCCTTGTCAATAGGTTGACTAGATGGGCGAAAGATGAATGCACACATTGGAGGCAGAGAAACAGGATCTCATCTCCAGAAAATGGGAGGATTTCTTGTAAATCACTTAGTCTCTCCTCTGAGAACACAGCAGGA